CCTCTTTTGTGGTTTTTGGCGGGTAATGCACCACGATTGCACACACATCCACATTGCTGCATTTCACCCATATTCCCAAGGCCCTCCGTGGGGCCGTCGGCGAGGAAAGCCAAGTCTGCACAACACTATTTTGCGCTACCGTGGGTCCTAACCCGATAGCACACCCGCACGAATTGTGTTGCATGTTGGGCCGTCGATGCCGCCACTTCCGCCACAAACCTCCCCGCACTCCTCGTCGTCATAGAAGAGTGCCCCCAATGCGTACGCTGTTGGACCCCCCAGCAAAACCACATCGAAATTCCTCGTCTCGTGCATGATATCGTCCAATCTATCCCGTGCAACATGATTACAAACGAAGATGCGGAGAGACGCCATGATAACAAATAACCATCCCCCGCCATGCAAGGCTAGCGGAGGGCCTCCGCGATGGCACCCGTAAGCAAAACCGTGCGGGTGTCTGGCGCGCCTCCTGGGGCGGTCCTGCTTCGGGCCCGGAGGCTCGGGAGGAGGGGGGAGGGGGAGGAGGAGGAGGAGGAGAGGAAAAGGAGGAGACGCGGGGACTGTCTCTTCAAAACGAAGACCAAACACCACATGATGATTGGGAATGAAACATCTAGGGCACGCTTGCCGTCGAGCCTTGAGCTTCCTGAGGTGCCCCAAATGCTTCGTGGACTACTAGGGCCGCCGGGTTCTACGAAACTTCTACGTATGGTGTACCTGCTGGCGCGCCAATTTTTTTCGTGACTATGATACGCACAGTGTAGAAGTGAACAGTCGACCACGAAGACGACGACGACGACGACGACGACGACGACGAGGACGAGGACGAGACGACGAGGACGACGAGGACGACGACGACGACGACGACGACGACGACGACGACGACGACGACGACGACGACGACGACGACGACGACGACGACGGCGGCGGCGGCGGCGGCGGCGGCGGCGGCGGCGGCGGCGACAATGACGACGACCACGACGAGGGCGAGGGGAGGCCGAGAGAAACCCGCTGGCAGAGGCGTCCAAGCTGCGGCCGAGCGCTGTGGGATGGGGCAGGGGGGGCCGCGCCTCGCACGCGAAGGCACACGACTCCCCTGGCGCGCCCACCATCCTGCGGGCGCCCGGGGGCGGGCGCGGATGAGCCCCGCCCCCCTCGCCTCGTGAAGCAAGCGGAACAAATCGCGCGATATTTCTGGCCGTGGGGTCCCGAAGCGGGTCCACCCTTCGCCTGCCGTCCTGTCATGCCCGCCTCTTTCGGGGGAACGGAAGGGAGGGGGGGGGTAGCGAATCAGCTGCATCCCGCTGACCAAGCTCCTCCCAGCCGCAGGGGGCCGCTGTCTGGCCCCAGGGCCATCAGAAAGCTCGTCGCCGACCCAGGAGATCTGCGCGGACGTCTAACAACTGATACTTCCGATGCTTCCTTTTCTCGGAGGCAGGAGGATGCGGGCGAGGATACGTTTTTGCCTACAGGCCGTCGGGCTGCTGGTGCGTGCGCCGCTCTCCTTCTCTGTGGTCCGCCAGCGGGCAGGCGCCGCGGCGCTTCGGAGTGGGTCCTTGGGGCTGCTCAGAGGCCGGTCGCGCTCTCTGGCGGCCCAAGGGCCCGCCTCGAGGCTTCGACGGCGGCGGGGCGCGGCCGGGCCTCTCGCCGCTTCCCAGGAGATCCTATGTGTTGTTTTTGCTGTTCCAAGCAGGGTCCCCGGAATCCTCTGGGTCGCCAAGCTTCGCGCGTCGCGCCCCGCGATGCGCGACGCAGTCGCGCATTCGCGCACTCGCGCGGACCCCCTGGGGGAAGGGCGGCTGATCTGCTCTGGACCGCGACGCGCGAAGCGCGACAATCTTCGCGCTCCTGGGTGTGACACTTCCCGCAGGGTCGACTGTTCTTTCCGAATCGCTTGTCCCAACCCTCCTGTGTGTTGGCTTCTCGTTTTGAATTCGCAGCGCCGCTCTCCACCTCCTCGTCCTCACATCCTCCCCCGTCTCCCTCCTTCTTCTTCCTTGCACATATGTCCGCTTCGGCACACCCCTCACACGCTTTGTGGCTCCGCAGGGAGTTCTACCGAATTCCCCAGAACTGTGTCGTGAGGAAAGATCGCCCAATGTTTGACAGGCTGGTGCAGCGTGGATCGGAGATGTCCTGCTTGGCGCGCGGAGCCTGGTACAACGTGACGGGGGTAGAACTGTTGCCGGTGGGGACCGGGCAACCTGGGGCTTGTACCTCCAAGTAGATTGTTGTGATACGGCTAGACGGGATGGCGGTTCGAAAGTGGCGAACTGCGTGGAGCTTCCTCGCAAACGAAAACTGAGCCAGGTTCGAAATTCGGTTCGAAACAATCGAAGTCGATCCGAAATAATACAAGGCATTTCGTGCGGGACTTTGGACATGTGATTCGACACCGGGCTCGAAACAATAGAAACATATGCGTTTCGTGCGGGAATTCTTCGCAAAGATGAATTGGACGCCGGTTCGAAGTCGGTTCGAAGCAATAATAAAGCAAGTATTTCGCCCAAGAGTTCTTCGAATATCTGACTTGGAGTTTGGTTCCAAACAAGTTCGAACCCAGCGAGACAAGAGCACCGCAATTGAAACATTGGGCTGAACTTCAACCATGTCCAAGAAGCAAGATGCACATGGCGCCTCGGGTCCGTTCCGGCACGCCCTTCACATTCTTCGTGGCCCCACATTGAGCTCCACCGAAGGCCCCAGTGGCAGGGCTCGCATGGCGCCTCGGGTCCATGTCGGCATACCCCTTCACACGTTTCGTGGCCCCAAAGGGAGCTCCACCGAAGGCCCGTTTGGCAAGGTTCGCCTGGCGCCTCGGTCCATTTCGGCACACCCTACACACGTTTCGTGGCCCCACAGGGAGCTCCACCGAAGGCCTCAAAGGAAAGGCTTGCATGGCGCATCGGGTCAATTTCGGCACGCCCTGCACATGTTGCGCGGCCCAACAGGGAGCTCCACGGAAGGCTCTGGTAGCAAGGTTCGCCTGGCGCCTCGGGTCCATGTCGGCACACCCCCTCGCACGCTTCGTGGCCCCAGAGGGAGCTCCACCGAAAGCCCCAGAGTCAAGGTTCGCATGGCGCCTCGGGTCCATGTCGGCACGCCCTACACACGTGTTTTGGCCTCGCAGGGAGCTCCACCGAAGGCCCCAATGGCGAAGTTCGCCTGGCGCCTCGGGTACATTTCGGCACGTCCCGCACACGTTTCGTGGCCCCAGCGGGAGCTCCGCCGAAGGCTCTGATAGCAAGGTTCGCCTGGCGCCTCGGGTCCATGTCGGCACACCCTCACGCGCTCCGTGGCCCCGGAGGGAGCTCCACCGAAGGCCCCAGTGGCACAGTTCGCCTGGCGCCTCGGGCCAATTTCGGCACGTCCCGCACACGCCTCGTTGGGCTTTGGGTTACTATGTCCTTGTGTATTCAGCGGTCCTGCCGCCTCGTATTTAGAAAGGGTTGGGTTCTTCGTCAGGCTAATTTTTGACGGTCCCAGGGCTCCCAGCGAGGGCCCCTGGAGGTCGAAAACGTTGTAAGCCCTCCGTTCTGTACGTGCATAGGTTCTGTTTCATGTTTGTAACGCCTGGTGAGGGAGCTTGGGCCACACAAATCGGTGACCCATCATAGCCCCCCATCGTTCACCCCCCCTCCCCCTTCCCATCGTGGGACTCCAACGTAGCCCCCCACCGTGGCCCCACATCGTGAATTCTTAAAAGATGTCGAGGGTCTTCTGCCGCAAGGGTGTCACCACTTCATCTGAATGTCCTCTGCATCCCGCCTTCGTCTGGACAACAGCGGCATGTCCGGCCATGCTGGGCAGCGAGCCAACAAGGGCAACGGTGTTCGGTGCCGCTACCGTGCGCGGAGGAGAGGGGCCTCCTGGAGTCATGAGCCTGCGGGCCCGAGAGGTCTTCATCATCCGCCGCCTCCTCCCAGCCCGAGTGTTGACACGCCCGAAATGGGTGCGCAAAGCGGGTACGATGTCCAACGGCAAATGTTCTCCAAAGCCCGACAGCGGCCGCTGTTAGGCAGGCGATGTTCGTGCCGAGCGAAGAACGTCCCCGGCGACACCGACAGCGAGTCCTGTTCAAAAACGGGCAGGAACTGCTGCCATTCTTTCGCACACATTCTTTCCGCACCCATTTCGATCGTACCGAGAACGAGCCTGCATGAACCCTTACTCGGGTTTGCAGTGCCCCCCTCTCAGCGCGAGCGCGGGCGGAGCTCAGACCATCGCCTGCTGGAAGCCCGGCGTCTTGCACCTCCGGCCTGGCCTCGGCGAATTCACCGAGGAAGCGAGCACCCCTTCTTGGCGGCGCGCGCACAGGGGATGCCGCGAGGGGTGGAGCAGTCGAAAAAAGCGGCGGGCTTCTTCAAGGCGGGGGCCTTGTTGGAACGGCACGGCGGCTTCCAAGAAGGCTTCTAGGAAGCCAGGATGGCTTCTACCCCCCGCCTTCCAAGAACACCCCTAGGCTTCCTGGACGGCCGCCCCCCTCGCGCCACCCCCCTTGGTGCGCGCCGCCGACCTTCGGCCTTCACCACGAGCTGCCCCAACCGCTCCCAGGCCTGGCAGACCGCCACGCTGTGCTGCTCCGGGCACTGGCCAATGAGCCTGGACTCGCCCGAAGGCACCAGCGGGAGTAGCCAGCGCCAGGAGAACGGGCCGCCCATGACCGCCTCGATCGCCAGCTTGGGCTTGGCGCTGACGAAGGGGCCAGCGATCACGCGCAGCGAGCTGAGGTAGCAGGCCGCCGCCGCTTCCCGGAGGAGCCGCGACGCCTCCCTTCGGTCGGCGTCCGGGCAGTCCTCGCGGTCCAACTGCGCCGCGAGCGCCTTGGCTTCGCAGTGCAGACTGTTGAACTTCGCCCACATCACCTTGGATGGCCATCCTGCCGCGGTGCGCACGATGGAGCGCTGCGCGCTGTTGTTGAAAAGGACGAAGCACATCCACAGGTACGCACACCACCCACCATGCCGCACCACCGCGCCGAAATCGCCGACGCTCGGTAGGCCAGTGTCGAGCAGGCGCCGCGCCGAGAGGCCCACCAGGCAGAGGAGGATGGCCTGCCCGTAGCCGAGCCATACCAGGAAGCAGCGCAGGTTGCGATACCCCACGCACTGCGCGACCAGGGGCATGTGCGAGTCCATCATGAAGCTGCACTGGTTGCAATCTTTGCAGTGGGTGAAGAATACCGAGCTGCTTCTGGTCCGGGGGACGTCAACGGACCTCCTCACCGATACTGGCTGGCCAAGACAAGAAACACAGTGTGTTGTTTAGTTGGGTCGACGACATGTTCGGTATCGCTTTTTTTTGCATTGCCCCTGGCCGTACTGAACTCGCGACAGGCTCCCCTGTAAAACAGCGCCAGCTAAGCGAAGATGTTCTGTCCAGGGCTGAAGAGGCCAGAGCGGCAGCGATCACTCAATATGCGTCGTATTATTCTGGCGTGGTGTATTCTCGTATCACTTGTAAGACTACCATGCGCACGTTTCGCGTCAAGCGTGAGAATCCGTCTGTCGTCGTTGGGTTTGACGTTCATGTGTTGCCTGGATGTCTGCTAAAACTGTTTCGTCACTTCTTTCTCCGAATGGAGATCGTACGCTCGCGTGTTCTACTGTCCTGCGATGCCCTCGGTTCCAGAATTGATTCAGCAACTGGCCGCGAGCTGAGAAGTTGGGGTCGGTCCAGGGGCATGTTGTCAGTGCTGTCGACAGATGCCTTGAGACGGACTCGGGGGGACATGTTGCCAATATTCTGCTCGAGCTCGAGTCTTTAAATTATCCATGGGAAATGATTGAACACATTGCGTCCCCAATCAAAAAGGCCCACCCGTACCTCCCATGTCTCGATGATGCCGTGCGCACTGCTAGACATCTGGTATATGACGACAAGCAAGCCATGTCCGTGTGTGTTTCCGAGTCCGCTTGTACTCGTGGTTTGCCCTCCTCGTCCTCCTCCCTCGTGTCTTCTCCCTCGTTTCACCATTGCCACCCATATCCTTGCACCTAGCTTGCTCATGTATCCTGGCCATCAGCGTGAAGGCCGTGGTGTGTGTGTGTGCCCACGAACGATGTCTCCCCCTGCCCAATCCTGCATGCTGCCGAGATGTATGGTGGATGCACATCCGTCAGATTGGTCGTGCTTGTGCTTGCAGTGTGCCTACCGAGCGAAAAGCAAACTTAAATCAATTCATCATGTGTTCGTTTGCGTTGCTCCTGGTGGCCTTTGCTGCTCAGACAACAGCTCAGGGAAGTTGTCAGAACACGACACGATGAAATGACGCGACGACACGACACGACACGACACGACACGACACGACACGACACGACGACGACAACGAAAAGAAAGTAATCCGAAACCCTGAAGGTGGGTAAGGTCAGGGAGGCCAAAGAGGTTGAGCTCTAGAACACCACTGCGCAAGATAATGAACACATCCGAGGCCCAGGGGAGCTGCCCTGGGTAGGCCACATGTGGCGGCGCACCGAGGTCATGCCAGGGGGGGAAACCACGGGTAGGCCAGGCGCGGAGGACAAACGACGACGACGAACGACGAAAACAAATTGTTCCGCGGCCCAGGGGCGCTGCCCCGGGGACCTCCAGCTGGGGTGGCGCACCGGGCCCATGCCAGGGGGGGAGCAAGGGGTAGGCCAGGCGAGGAGGACGAACGTCGACGAGGAAAGACGAAAATCAATAGGTCGAAGCTCTGCAACACAACTGCGCAGGAGAATACAAGGTTCCGCGGCCCAGGGAGGCTGCCCTGGAAGGCTCGGGGGGGCCAGATGTGGCTGCGCAGAGCACAAGAACGCCAGGTCAGGGGGGGGGGCAAGGAGGCCGAGGTCATGCCCGGGGAAGTTACGGGTGTATGTTTTTTTAGGGGGGGGGGGCAGGGGGTGAGCAGCACGAGCAACGAACGACGAAAGTAAAGGATTCCGCGGCCTAGGAGGCTTCCCTGGGAGGCTACGCAAGGGGGCGGCTGGGTGGGGAGACGCAGAGCTCGAGGAAGCTAGGCCAGGGGGGGGGGGGTCATGTCTGGGGAAGTCGGGGGGGGGGGTGCAGGGGAGGAGGACGAAAGACGAACGATGGAATGCGGCCCAGGGGAGCTGCCCTGGGAGACTAAGGGGAGGCCAAACGGGGCGGCGCAGAGCCCAGAGAAGCCAGGCCATGGGGGGTGGGCAGGGGAGCGCCAGGGGGAGGCCGAGGCCATGCCAAGGAAAGTCAGGAGGGGGCCATGGGGAGGAGGACGAACGACGAACGCCGAAAAAAAGAGGTTCCGCGGAAGGTTCCGCGGCCCAGGGAGGCTGCCCCTGGAAGGCGAAGGGGAGGCCAAATGGGGTGGCGCAGAGCCATGCCCCGGGAAGCCAGGGGGGGTAGGAGAGGGGGACGAACGACGAACGACCAAACTGAAGGGTTCATCGGCCCAGGGACGCTGCCCTGGGAGGCCAAGGGGAGGCCATATGGGGCGGCGCAGAGCCCAAGGACTCCAGGCCAGGGGGGGGGGGGGCACGGGGATACCAGGGAGGCTGGCCGTGCCTGGGGGGAAAGCAAAGGGGGGGCATGGGAGGACGACGAACGACGAAACTAAAGAGGTCGGAGCTCTGGAACACAGCTTTCCAAGATAAGACAATCAAAGGTTCCGAATTTGGGAACAGAGATGTGCCATACAATGAGGGGGTCCGCGGCGCAGAGGTGCTGCCCTGGGAGGATGATCAGGGGGAGGCGGCTCATGGGGGCTGCCCTGGGAAGCTAAGGGGAGGCCAGATGGGGTGGCGCAGAACACAAGGAAGCCAGGCCAGGGGGGGGGGGGGAGCAGGGGAGCGCCAGGGGGAGGCCGAGGCCATGCCAGGGAGAAGTCGGGGAGGGGCCAGGACCGACGACGAGCGAGGAAAGGAAGGCGCTCCGCGCCCAGGGGGGGGGCTGCCCTGGGAGGCCACAGGGAGGCCAGATGGGACGGCGCAGAGCCCAGGGAACATGCCAGGGGGAGGCCAGGGGGAGGTCGAGGCCATGCAAGGGGAAGCCAGGGGAAGGCCAGGGGAGGAGAACGAACGAACGAACGAACGACGAAACAAAGGGTTCCGCGGCCCAGGGGGGCTGCCCTTGGGGAGGCCAGATGGGACGGCGCACCGAGGCGGGTGGCCAAGGGTGGGCCAGGTGAGGAGGACGAACAACGACGAGCGACAACACGTGGCATGCATGCCCTTGCTCTTGCACGAGAGAGGGCAGGGGCCATGCGAGACGGGGCGAGGGAGGGGGGTGGGGGCCATCCTCGTGGCCTCCTAGGGCCATCATGACCATCATGAGGAGGCAGGGGGGCAGGGAAGCCCAGAGAGGGGGGCGACGAGCGAACGAATGACGACGACAATAAATGGCTCCGAGCTCCAAATCACAGCTGCGCAAGAGAATCACACAATTCTTCAGGGTCGGGACCCCCAGTTCCCAGGCTCTTGGGTTCTCCTGGGGGCTTCCGCGTTGGCCTCCAGGACGGTGACACCGCGCGAGAGCCCCGTGTTTGACGTCTGCGCCGTTATCGTCCTAATAACGCCGACGACGGCCCAAGAGGCCCCTAACATCGTCCCAAAACGGCCCAGGAGGCCCCCAAGAGAGCCCCAAGAGAGCCCCAAGATAGCCCATAAGGCCCCTAGGACGGCCCAGGCGGCCCCCATGACGGGCTAAGACGGCCGCAAGAGAGCCCCGAGAGAGGCCCTAGGGGAGAACGCGACCTGGCATTTCGAGCCCTCCGCTCCAAGATGACCCCTGAGCCCCCAAGAGGCCCCCAGGAGGCCCCCGTTGTCCCCAAGAGGCACCAGAGACGTCCCCCAGATGCCCCACCGCATCCACGACTCATGCACGGTGGCGGCGTGGGCCAAGGGCCATTGGATCTCACCGACCCTGAACCCAGGATGAGCCCGGCCAAGATCGGTGAGGTGGTGCCGGCTGGCGTCGCCCGACTGGGCGGCATGCCGCACTCGCCGCACGCGGTGCCTTTGGCGTCAAAGGGGCTCTTCTTGCAGCGCTGCCCGGCCTGCAGCGCCGCCGCCACCACCTCTGGGAGCGGCTCGGCCTCGGCGCCGGCCAGGGGCGGTCGGCCGGGACCGTGCACGGCCACGCCCAGCCAGCTCAGCAGGAAGAGCGCCAGCAGCGCGCCCAGTACCGGAGAGGCGACGCGCACGATCTGCGACTCTGGGGGCTGCAGCATCTCCTTCAGGAGGCAGAAGACACACAGAGACAATGCACCTTTGCTTCCCGGGACAAGAGGGGAACATCGGGAAAACGGGGGGGAATACGAAACTCCAAAAAATATGAGAAAACATTGGGGATCCCGGGATTTGTGCATACATGTTTTTTATGTGTCCCTGGGCCCCTCCACTCCTGCGTCGTCACATAAGTGCCGACCACCACGATCGTGGCGAAGGCGAGGAGCCCGGCGGCATCGGTGCGGCGCCGCTGGAGCGCCGGCGGCAGCGACTGCAAGGCCCTGCGGCTGCGCTCCCGGAGATCCTTGTCGCTGCTCTCGACGGCGTCCGCGGCCTCAGGGGCCGGCGCGCCGCCCGCGGCGGCCGCCACGGGCTTGCGCTGCTTCGGCTCGGTGGCCTCGGACCGCGCCGACTCCGCCCTGATGGCCATCGCTCCCTGTCCGCGCCGGGATCGCCCCGCGCACGCTTGAGCCCAAGTGACCACGATGAGGATGAAGTGGGGGGGCTTATTCCTCTTCCTCCTCATCCTCCTCCTCCTCCTGCTCCCTCCTCCTCCCTCCGCATATGCCTTCTCTCGTTCCCGCCTCTTTAACCCTCCTCCTCCTCCTCCTCCTCCTCCTCCTCCTCCTCTGCCTTCTTCTCCGTAAGTCCCTCTTCGTTCTGAATAACTCCTGGGGGGATCCTGGGCCAGAATGCCGCATACAGACCGCCCTTGCCGCAAGCTGCTGCCGGCCCAGATCACTCCACCGTCCGCCCAATACCCAATGCTCCTGCTGACGCGCGTCGCCCTAATATGATCTGAGAGGATTCACATGCCGCCGAAGTTGGCGACTAGTGGGCCCGTATCCTCCCAGATTAAGCGAGAGTTGTATCCACGAGGGTCGCCTGTGCTGGTCAGCCACTGATGGACTGCACCAGCTGCCCGAGGCGTCCACGGCTTCCCACTAGCCCCCGAGGTGCAGGAACAACGGCAATGGGCCCGTGCGCAGCGCGGGCGACCAGTCATCACGCGCTGGTGCTGGATGCAGCCGCACAGACGCAATGGCCTACCGCGCCAGCTACGATCGGGAGCCTCTGCCGCTGGAGCTCGCATGCGGCCCCGCTTTGGAAAGAGGTCTCACCCTGGGAGCTGCTCTTCTAAAAACGCGTCGGGATCGATCAGCAACAGGCATTGTCAGAGACTGCCGTCCACCGTTTCCAGCCGAACCCTTCTCCAGACGATGGGTTGGCTCGAGAATCCCTCAGGCGTTCACCGCCCCTGGAAATCATCAACTCGCGGGTGCGAGCCGCAATGCTGTCGAGTTCGTACTCATGCTGGGCATGCTGGCCTTATAGCGTGCTCTCCACGAACCGAGCGTTCGCCCCCTCGCATGCCAACACGTGCTTCGCCGCGCGCCTTTCCTCCTGGTCCTCAGGCTGGTCGACCAGACCCCCTGCTCCTGGGTCTCCAATCGAGGCGGCTCAAGAGAGACCCCGCAACCCCTCACTGGGCTTCGATGGGGACAACACGGTGTGGCCCATGAGCTCGCCCGGCAAGGTCGGCTCAATAGCTGCTCACGGCCTAGGGGGCCAGCCAAGAGGCACTGGGGTACGAAGAGCTCGACGTCAACAGAAATCAAGGTTACCGCCCCCCTCGGGAGCTGCCGTCGACACTTGTGCCAACCTAGCCTCGCTTCGTGGCCCATGATGGGCTTTCCTCAGCGCTGCAGCCCCCGCCTTGGACACGTCGAGGTCGGTTGCAGCGTAAGGCGACACTGCACCACAACACTTCCAGCCACGGCCCGCGAGCTTCGCTTGAAGCGCGGAAAGGAGCGCCCAGTCGCTGGCCCACCTCGCAGCAGCCAGCGACCGCAACGAGCGCCTCTCCCGACGAGGGACTCCTTCTCCTCCTCCTCCTCCTCCTCCTCCACCTCCTCCTCCTCCCACTCCTCCTTTCCCTCTACCTGCTAAGACTGGGGCCCAGAACCTCCAGAGGATTGCGCAAGGCCTCCTCTCTGGATCTTGCGTTTGGGGCACGGCCTGCGCAGAGAGGAAAATTCGCAACAGACCGAATTCGGCGACTCCGAGCCGAAGCTGATCTGTCACCGTAGGTCATCAAGGCCGATCGCGACACACTCTCCGTCCTCCCCCTCCTCTTCCTCCTCCTCTTCCTTCTCCTCCTCCTCCTCCTCCTCCTCCTCCTCCTCTTGCTCCCCCTCCTCCTCCTCCTCATCATCATCATCCTCCTCGAGCGTAGGCGAGGCGCCTCAAGTTCAGCTCCACGACTCACGCCTGGCTGCCACCCGTGCAGCAACTAGGCCTCTTCACCTCAAGTCGGTCTGTTGGCAAGACTGATTGTGCTCCCCTAGCGACGACTTGGTTATTCTTAAAGCCTGTGCATGTTTCAACAACTGTTTATCTCGGCGTGTTGGAAATCACTTCTTAGCACTTTTAGGCCCAACCAATAGATTTAAGACGCTAGCATCACGATCTCGGTTTACGTTTCGAGCTTAGTTCTTCAGCGCTTCGTATCAGATGATTGTGCTGCTTAACATGGCCGTCTACCGCGTCCTCAGTTCCAGTCTCCCCTGTTTAGATTATGATCAAGTTGCTCTTCTCGGGTCGTCGCTGCTGGCTGGTCGCGGGGCCTCCCAGACTGTTCCGCGCCAGTGTTAGACCGGTGTGGTGTTAGGGCGTTCTTTGTATATCTTTAGCTCTGCGTTCTACGCGCAGAGCGGGAGGAACGGGAGTTCGGGAGCGAAGACGGCAGCGAAGACAAGGGGCAGGCTTTGACAAGAAAGCAAACAGCGCTTAAACATGAAGGTCAACGGCGGCTGGCTTGAAATCGCTAAACCAACTTAACAAAAAACGCGTACAACTAGTAGCGTGTTTAAAGCGTTCTAGCTTGTCAATCGCCCAAAGTGCAACGCTGTTTTCATAGAAAGGCCCAGGGCGTGTTTTTGTATGAAGAAGTGGCTCGAAGAGATCCCTCTGTGAGGACCAAAAGGGAGGACGCGAGTGCTGGCGCACGAAAAAATAGCTTTGGATGGGGCAATAACTCTTAGACAGGCAACGGGTTCGTCATCAACCACGTGCCCAGGAAGTTTCTCCAGGAGCCAAAGAAGACAGCACAGGTGCAGCAATGCCAGAATTCATCCGCGGCCCTAAGGCAACCGAAAATGCAGCCCGAGCTTTCTGGAAAACGATGGCCAACACGCCAACATCCCCCCAGGGTCTTGAGGACGGCAGCTCTCCATGAAGGGGCGAGGAGACCAATCTCAGATCTGACATGTTGCCGCTCGATTGTGCGGATCAGTGGGGCACTGTCTTGACGCCAGTGGAGGAGACGACGGGTGAACGTGTCCTGGATCTTATCGGGGCACAGGGTCTGGAGCAACGCCTTCGTGCAAATCCCACCAGCCCTTTGGGCGTGAGTGGTTTAGAGAGCCCGCTCTGTCCTCAACCCACCTTCTTCCCCTTCGGGGAGGGGTTTACCCCTCCCCCTCCCCCCTCCCCCTGGGCCTGGAGAGGGCGGGCCGAGCGTAGTCAAGGGGGTCTTTTCCGACTCCTGGGAGGGCCAAAAAACGACGACCCTCACGAGGATTCTGGCCCCGACGGGGGGAGGGAGTTTGGCCCCTCTGCTCTTCTTTGAAGCCAAAAACATTGATTTTACGAGGGTTGTGGCCCCATTTTGGCCTCCTGAGGGGGCCGCGCTCATTTTCCTTCATAGCAAAATCATTGATGTTACGAAGGTTTTGGGCTCATTTTGTCCTTCTCAGGGGGCAGCGCTCCTTTGCGCTTCTGAGGAGGTCGCAAGAGGCCCCAAGATGGCCCCAAGAGGCCCCCAGGAGCCTCCCAAGAGGCCTCCAAGAGGCCCCAAAGAGGCCCCCAAGAGGCCCCCAAGAGGCCCCCAAGAGGCCCCAAGAAAGAGGCCCCAAGAGGCCCAAGGAGGCCCCAAGAGGCCCCACGAGGAGCCCGAACGACTCACACCAGGACGAGGGGCCCGAACGACTCACACCACGAAGAGCCCGAACGACTCACACCACAAGGAGGGGCCCGAACGACTCACACCAGGACGAGGCGCCCGAACGACTCACACCACGAGGAGCCCGAACGACTCACACCACGACGAGGGCCCCGAACGACTCACACCACGAGGAGCCCGAACGAGTCACACCAGGAGGAGGGGCCCGAACGACTCACACCAGGACGAGAGCCCGAACGACTCACACCACGAAGAGCCCGAACGACTCACACCAGGAAGAAGGGCCCGAACGACTCACACCAGGACGAGAAACCCCAAACGACTCAAATCACGAGGAGCGCTTTCTCTCTCTCCTCCTCCGCCTCGTCCTTCTCCCGCTCCCCCCACAAGGAGGATGTACAAGGAGGCGGGAGGAAGGAGGAACAGGGGAGATATGCGGGGCCAAGCGGACATACGCCTGAAAAACACGACTGTCGGCATGCTTCGCAAGAGTTGCTGCTGTGAGATGGGCTGGTGGGGATACGGGAAGCGTAAAGAATTCTCTGGGGCTTCTGGGTTTTGGGGATGCAGGGGGGCCGTTCGGCTTGAGCGTCGGCCGACGCGGCGCGAGCGGCGCCTTCCGGCAGCCTGCAGCTTCCCGTCTACAACAAAGCTGGACTCAGAATAGTGGAGACTGGAACCGAACGGCGGGCTCTGCCAGTGCTCGGGGCACACTTTGTGATTAGCGATGCGTTTTCCGCGCCATGCTGTCTCTCGCCATCTCAAAAACCAGCGCAACTCCACCTTGCCTGATCTTAAACGCGCAGAAAGCAGATATCACCAAGGCCGAGGTGCACATGGCTTGGACACTTCCGCACCTCGGGCCCCCCCCACTTACGCAGATTGTGCCAATAAGCGCCGGTGGGCGCTCGACATTGGATAATCCGTAACTTAGGGAAGACCTCATAATATTTATCGCGTTGAGCAACATGCGATAATTACAACAGTGAGGACTCGAGATCGGTAAAGGCCAACTGTCACCTCGGAGGAGCTCCGTCGCGAGCCATTGCTGTGGGCTCTGGAGAGGAACTTATCAATCGGCTTGATGCACTGGTCCGGAGGGGCCACCTCGGGGACCTGGAGCATCCCCAGATATCCCAGCGAACCACCCGCCTCAAAATCCTCCCAGCCAGGTGTGATTTCCAGGAGCCAGACCTTGACCTTGAGAACGAGACGCGGGGTAAGCGGGGCACCGACAGGTACTACCTTGCATTTACGACTCTCGATTTTGAAATGTGCAACGCGCCTAGCTTCCTCGAGCAACCAGAAAAACGCCGCGGGGGTAAAAGAGCCCGCGCACTGCTATGCTGACGTCGTCGGCGCACGCACGGGCAATGCCAAGCTGCGGCGCGTCGATGCGACGCCTGAATCTCTGGCGGAAAGCGCCCGTGGCATAAACAAAAAAAAACCTGGCGCTGAACATCCCTGAATGATCCTACTGGCTACCGCAAACACG